GATTAACCGGAGGATAGGAGTAGCTAGTGGATTTCTGCGTCAACCAGCCCGAACCGTTAAGACTAAGGCAGAGCAGAGTCTGAAGGCTTAGCTCTCTGTGTTAAAGTCGATTTTGAACCTGATGCTTGTCTCTGGTCAAGAGTCGCGGGCCAAGAGTGAAAAAACTCGATCCCAGAGCAAACAGCTGATATGGGCCTTCTGAGATGAAGCGCTGTGTTCACGCGTCTCGAAATGGTCCTGAGTACAGATATCCGAGACAGCGTTGGTGTATAACCGCTGCTTTTGCAGATTCATTAGTGTCAGCTGCGATGGTTTGGGCACGTCTTGTGAATGCCATCAGAAAGGAAGGCGAAACAACCAGTGCTTGCCCAACCGATCTGCAGAAGACCTAGCAGAGACTAAGAATGACCTGGAAAAAGTACCTCAACGCAATCTGCTCCAGACTCAAGTTATTTTCTGCCAAAGCTGAAACACGGGTACATTCGGCAACGTTAGTGACACTGTGTGACAAGACTGCCTTCGCTTTCTGAAAGGACAACCTCTCATCGAAGCTGACTGACTGATACTCAGAGCCGTTTTTACAGAAGAATGAAATGAAGCCGAACCCAAACCAGGTGAAGAAGTTAGACGCTAAAGCTGATTGACAAAAATTACTATACAATTACTAGTAAACTGACACAACTCAAAATGTTTGATTAACAGCTAGAATATCAAATTAGCATTACCGTTACAGGGAATGAATGAAGGAGAAAATTGTTTTCGGTTTTCCATGATCTAACATATATGTTCTAATAATTTTCATTTTCATCTTCCATCGCCGTTTCTCCTTTCGGGTCGCGGAGGCACACACGATAGATAGAGCTTCCAACGTTCCCAATCCTGTGCCAGAGTCTGAGCTTTGGCAAAAGAAAAATGGAGTCTGGAACAGACTCCTTCCATATTTGCACCAGGATAATCTTGGCCGTCCCCTGCGCCTTTTGCCAGTCGGAATTGCAAGCAACAGTTGCTTAGACTTCCTTTCCGAAGGCACTAGCAACACATGCCCAAGCCATCGCAGTCGTGACTTCTCAGTCTGGAGAAGCAAAGGCTGTACGCCAAGGCTCTTCCAGACGTCAGTATTTCGGACCATGTCGAGACGCGTTCGGCCAGCGACTCGTCTAAGAAAGCCCATTTCAGCAGTTTGTATCCGCGTTCGAAGTTTTTCAGTGATGGTCCACGATTCATGACCGTAGGCAAGTATGGCGATAAAGATCGACTTGACTATTGAGAGTTTAGTTTTCAGACTGAGCTCTCCTTTAGTCACAGTGGGTCGCGCTAGTTCACATACAACGATATTGGCTACTCCAATTCGCTCGTCGATCTCTTCCTCCAATTTTCCATCACTAGTAAATACAGCTCCGAGGTACTTGAATTTCTCCACCTGCTCCACTGCCTCTCCGTTAATCTGAAGAGATCAACGGACAGGAAAAGGAGAAAGCACTAGGCTTTTCGTTTTAGATGCGTTTACATGCATGCCGGTCCAGTCGCACTCGGCTATGAACCTTTCCTGTGAGCACCGTAGCTCAGTTTCGGAACATGGCAATAAAACAAGGTCGCCTGCAAACAGGAACCCTCTCGTCTCCACATCTCCTACACCGATACACTCATCGGCTGTTCGTGACTGCTCTATTCCGTATACAACACAAAGAGGATAGGGGACAGGACGCAGCCTTGGCGGAGACCAGTGCGAACGTTGAATGGTTTCGACTTAACGCCATTTGCTCTGACGCAGCATCTGCTATCAGAATACCGTGATTGGATGGCCCTTAGCAGCTGGCCATCAATCCCGTATGCACGAAGGCATGTCCACGGACTCTTGCGTGGGATCCGGTCATACGCTTTCTCTAGGTCTATAAAACGCATGTACACCGGCTGGGCGTACTCCCACGATTTTTCAACAATCTGGCGCAGGGGAAATATATGGTCAGAGGTGCTTCGACCGGGCCGGAAGCCACC